CATATGTAATAGTGAAAAAAACGTGGCTTTTAATGCCGCATCTGTGTGTATTCCTGAACTGGGTCTTACGCCTAAAAGCATGCCACATTAATTTTTCGCATGACTGGATATGTATGTATAGAGTTACACGCCGTAAATTCAAATAGCAAACCTTACCAATATGTACATAATATGCGTTTTATAAGTAACCTGAAAAGTGATAAATCAATGCTATCTTAGGCAATCAAAGAAAATGCACACTTACCAATGATCCATCCTCGCTAGTACTAGCATCGAATGCCTTTTTTGAGAAAACTGACAGCAGGTCAATCAAATCCGATTCAGCGATTTCCATCTTAAGTCTTCACTTTTTCTTCGCTGCATTTACTACCACTTGCTTTCCTTTCTTGCCTTTTCAAATATCAGGCTGAATTACTAACAAATTTTGCCACAAAATCCAATTGCAGCGGGATGTTATTGAACAATTCTAAGTACCAACTATTATATTTCTTCTTCACATTAGGAAATTCTAGTGTGTCTTTTAACAACTATACACTTTTCTGTAATAGTTGATATCAGGCAGAATTGGCAAACGCCGTACAAGACTGTACTGTGGCAAAATATTATTTTTTGTTGTTCTTATTGTCAAAAATTTTCGCCAGACTTGTGATTTTGGAACCGTTAATTGATATACTTTTTTTCCACATATAGTTTTTTGCAAATATATTTACATATATGCATTTAAACATTTTTGTTGACGTAATTAGGAATAATTTATTTTATTTCGCTTTTGCTTATACATACATTTGCGCATAAAACGCTGGCTTTGGAAGACACTTGCCTTTTCCTCAAATGAAATGGAGCATAGGAAAACTCCACCCTTGAAAGGCAGAATACGTTTTATTTTATCTTTTCCGCAACAATTGTAGCACTATGTAAATCACCAAAACTTGTATAATGTTAAGAAAGATTTTTGATCGCGATAGAAATTAATCGACAATTTTTCACAAAAACTTTTTGCGTTTCTGATTAAAAAACAACGAGGGCAAGCGCACTTTCGTACAAAGTTGGCAAAAGCGTAAATCAGAATGACAGCAAATAAAGGAGAAGCAACATAACCATTTGTGGTGCTGTCACGAATGTCATGTGTGGAAAAAGAAAAACTAGAAACAAGTGTCGCCAAGTCTTAAATTACACTAAGCACTAAAGCTCAAGAAAAATTACGTTTTTTCTCGAAATAAGCACCAAGTTTTTATTGGAGTATTTAAAGGACTTTATATGCATACAAAAAATGTATGGTAGGGATGCTGATTCAAATTAATAAATATCAATGTTTCTTGCTCAACGGTCGAATTTATCATGTTTTCTATAAATTCAAACACTTTCGTCTGACGTAACATTCTTAAGCTGAAATTAGTCAAGTATGCAGAACGTATACTTAAACGCAGTCTGTATACGCAGAATTTTGTCGATTACTGGAGCCCTCAGTGTTGCTTACTACAGTGTTGCCACTCATCAATGCCTTTTCATAAACTTACATTTTCAAATACAATTTTTCGTGCTACAATACATCGTAGCTAAATATAATCTATTTAGTTTTCAACAAAAAACCTTATTCAATGGAAATAGGAAATTATAACTCGTTTACCATGTGCAAAACTGACGAAGTGGCAACCATCCATAAAAGAAATAAATCAGCTGACACGGAAAAAATCTAAATTCCGCAGATTTCTGCGCTACGGGCTACAGCTACAGAAAAATTCTGCGATGTTTAGTTTTCATTTACATGGCGCTCTGGTATGACAGATCGTGTCAGCTGACTCGGTTTTACGTACCGGTACGTTTACGTTCTTGACTAATTTCAGCTTTATTCATATTTTCTAATTTGCAGCTGTGACCAGCGTTGCCGTTTCGCATAGTCTAACAAAATTGATACATTTCCTGCATGATGCAATAATACAAGGTGGTATCAGTTGTGACAGCTCGATTTGACACTGCCTTAGCTCAGTAGAATGAGAAGAAAAACGGGAAGAAGTGAATCCCCATATGGGGGAAATATATAAAATTTCACATTTTCTCCTAAACAAAATTTGATTTTTTATAGTATATTCGTTATGAAATGAAATAAAATAAGATAAAATATCTTTTTAAGAAAACAAACAAATAATAAAAAACATTCAACTATATTAATGGGCAAAGAATAGTTAAAGAAGTAACACTGTTTCACGTAAGGCAGTCAATATGGCGAAATTAGAGCGAGAAGTTGCCAACTGATAACACCTTGTATTATTGCATCATGCATTTCCTGAATGTTTAAACTAAATTTAGTGCAAAAAGCACGAAGCTGGCAACAGTGCTAGAAACTGTCAAATTGTGGAACAAATAGCTAAGACAACCACCCCACAATTTAAAATAATTGAGCCTCGACACACTAGTCTTTTCAGCCCGTCTGAAACCGATTTTTCACGGCAAGAGAAAATAATTACAACACCGGATGTTTCTAACCAACCGCCAGATATCTTGGCGCAATTCCACCAAGGCCAAATTTTATTTTACATCCCTGCTAGACTTTAGAATTTCTGCCTATTTTCAGTGCCACTATTAATTAATAAACAGCTTTACACTCATACACTGTCTTCCAATGCGAGTTTGAAGTGGTTATATACGAATTATATACTTTTTAATAAGTTTCCGCAAATCATGAACATCGCAACTGAAAAATGATAATTAGGAAGAAAATTAATAAAGATTTTTCCTTCATATGGAATACCAAAACAACAATGAAATCATTATATAAATAGGCAATCATGTTTCCTTTACACCCCTTTTACGGCTAAACTATACTTCTAAGGTATAAACAGTTATATATAATTAGAAAGGTATTTTGATGCTGATGTGCAGGCAATTTTTAAAATTTCAAATCAGTTTAAAATAGAGCGAAAAAATCAATTCAAAAGTCACACCAATACCAATGCACACATGTACATGGTTGGGGCGGAAATGCCCCCTAAATGTATGCTTTAATATTGATAGCGAATTAAAGAAACGTGCTAAGCAGCAGTTCAGGAATAAAATGTATGTATGTATGTACATGAATAGATTAGACTCAAACAAGGAAGAAGGTAAAGTTGAGTATGGAGAAGAAGAAAGTGATAAATACAGAAATTAAAATAAAAGTAAAGAAACCTAGATATAAAGACAAAGAGGAAGGAAAATTTAAATACCTAACCTAATAACAATGGTGGGGGTGAATATGTAAATGAAGAAAAGAATGGACATATTTAGATCAGGATAAAGGAAAAGATAAAGATGAAGACCAAGACGACGAAGATGAAGATGAAGATGAAGATGAAGATGAAGATGAAGATGAAGA